TGTGGAGCTGTCCGCCGCCTCTGCAGGGCGGGTTCCATTCCCCGCCGCACAGGGAGAGCCCCACAGGGCGCAGCAGACCTCTCCTGTCTCCCCGCTGCTCCCCTCAGCAGTGTCTTCGGTCTGTCTGCCTGTTCTGCTCCCCACTCTGTCTCTGGTGAGTCCTCTCACCCCAGCACCTCTGACCTGTACCCCAGCTCTCATATGAATAAGTAAATCTTTTTTAAAAAAAAAGGCAAGATTCTATAAATAATAATAATAATAAAAAAAAGTTGGAGCCTGGAGCCCTCGCAGGGGCCCTGGCAGGCGATGGGGCGGTACTGGGGTCTCCCTGCATTCCTTTCAGGGCCCGCTGCTTCTCTGATTGACATGACTGCCCCGCCCTCGTCATCCCTTCCTCTTTGGTTGCGGGCAGTTTTTAATGCCCCCCCCCCCGAGAATGATGGGGTGATCCGCGCCTGCAGTTGGAACTACCCAGAGCAACCCCAAGCGGCTCCCTGCCCTAGACTGGACGGAAGGGCCCCCACTTCCAGCCTGCCCGTCCGCTGGCGGCTCGAGGCTCGGCGCTGGGCAGTGTCTGCTGGCCGCTCCCTCCCACGGCTCCGGCCCAAGGCCTGCCTGACAGGAAGACAGTGGCGGGAGCCCGGCCGCTGGCCAGCACGGGGCCTCGGCCAGTTCCCTGCGAGCTGGCCCTGAGCTGCTTGGGGGATTCAAAGGCCCTGGCGGGTGGGGCTGGGGAGGGGCCGCTGGGGCTCCCTGGGCAGCCTGGGAGGGGGCCGAGGTGCAGCTGGCAGGGAGCCCCCCTGGGCATGGGCCTCGGACTTTGGCCCCTGGTGTTTCCCCTACGTCAGCTTTTCTATTTTGGGCCCTTGCTCCTCCCTGGAATGCTCCGCGCTGTGGGAACCCCAGAAGGCGAGGCTGGTCTGCAGGTCCTGGGTGCCCCTCCCCGCCCCTTGCCTTTCCTTCCCGGACCTGGGAGGGTTTCCACCAGACTGGCCCTTCGCCCCCTTAAGGTCACCTGTGGCTCAGGGTCCGTGTGTCCGGTCAAGGCTCTCCTGCCTGGAGACCTGGCTGGGAGGCTCCCCGCTCCTACCCAGGGAACGAGTCACAGTCCTGGAGGCCTGCAAGCCGCCGAGAGGGCACCCAGGACTCGGAGGCAGCCGAGGGAGGGAGGCAGAGTGCTTCGGGGGAGAGGCGACTGGCGTCAGCGGGGCTGCAAAGCTGGGGTCTCAGCTCCATGGAGAGGATACCGCGGGGCAAGGGTCTCTGCAAGCCTGGGGGCTCCGGAATCCTGAGCCCCCGTTCTGCTCATCTGCGAAAATCAGGGTAGCTAAGGCTGTCGGTAGGGTAGCCGTGGAGAGTGGGGTTAGAGCCCTGGGCGGGGCAGGCACCCTGCAGGCGCTGCTTTAGCAACAGCGCGCCGCGCCTGGAGGGAGCCTGGGAGGACAGGGAAACAGGACAGACCGCAGCAGCTGCAGGGCCAGTCCACAGTGCTGTGGCTGGGAACGTCCGTGGGGTGGTCCCCCCCAATCTAAAGCCTTCCACAGCAGCCCCCACTGTGGGCGCCCTGACTCCCATCTGGCCGGCTGCAGCGCTGTTTCCTCCTCGCTTGCAAGCCCCCCCCCCAGTCTTTGCACCCCACGCCAGGTGCAGCCAGGCTTCAGAAGTGGAAGCTGCATTCCAGGCATTCCTGCTCCGCCTGGCCCCTCCAGCCCTGGGTCTCAGCACCAGCACCACCTGGGGGACCACGGGGGTGGGGAGGGGGCACCAGGCCTGGCGTCTCTGGGGTGGCCCATGAATTTAGCAGTTGGGACTTTGAGGCAGGTTAGGGCAGGTTTCAATACATCCAAACAGAAGTGAAATTGAACATTCCACATTCATTCATTCATTCACTTGGAGGGTCTTTATTGAGTGCCTACTGTGTGCCCTTCCCAGCAGGCACCGTAGTGAGTGGGATGTCCTGACAGGAGAGACGCCGGTGAGGGCCTGCTGGGAGCAGGCAGAGTACAGGGGGCTGCGTAGGGCTGAGCCTGGGGCGCTCGAAGACCTTTGTGGCTTCCTCGGAGCTGAGGGGCTCAGGGGGACAGTGTCAGGCCAACTGAAGCCTCCGTCACCCTAGGGAGGCAGCTTAGCAGGTCCACCTGAGGGGGTGGCCCCGGGCAGTGCTGCAGGGGCCATGAGCTGGGGGAGGGGGCACACTGGGCCAAGGCCAGGGAAGGAGGACTGGACAGCAGGAGAAGCCCCGCTGTCTGAGTCACGAGCTGATTTCCCCTTCCCGATCAACCCAGGGAGGACTAGACAGGCTCCTGGGGTGCCAGGGCTGAGGGCCCCAGGGGATGGTGGGCCCAACGCCTGCCCACAGACCACGAGAAGCGTGGGAAGGCGAGAGCAGAGCCGAGGAGACGTGCACCTCCCGAGCTGGCTGCCCTGCGCGGATGCCGGGGAGAGAGAACTTGGCAAAGATCCCACTGACCTGGACCAGCGGGAGCCTGGTCCAGCGGGCAGCATCAGCAGCTCCCTGAAATGGGAGCCCAGCGGAGAGCTGGGAACCCGCGGAGCCGCTCCTGGGTGCCATGGGTCCTGGGCGCCATGGGTCCTGGGCATCCCTGGGCCCCTGGGCTCCCACCACCTTCCCTCTCTAACTGCCTTTGGAACCAGCGCTCTGGGCTTGGCCATTAAAGGGCCGGCGCTCCCTGCCCAGGGCTGCAAGGGCATCACCTCCCACAGGTCCTTTCCAGCCCGCCAGGTCATTAGGTGACCAGACACGGGTTTCCAGAGGCTTGAAGTCCTCTAAAGTGCTGGCTGTCATTTCAGCGCTGCCACCATCTCAGGCCTCCCTGCCTGCCTCTGCTGACACGGGCCACTCCTGAGCACTTGCTCACCTTCCATCCTCACCCGTCCCTGTCCCCCGCATACCTGCCCCTCCTCGACCCCAGCTTCCACCTGTCCACCCCGCCATAAGCACCACGGTGTACCGTGTGGCCCGATGGGGCAGGGAGCAGGCTCTGTTGGAGCCAGTCCCAACCTCAATGGTTGTGCCTACTGCCGTGAGTCCTGGGCAGCTTCTGCACCTGTCTGCGCCTCAGTTTCCACGTTGTGGAAATAGTAAAGGCGTCCACGTCACAAGCTTGCGTGAAGGCGCCAGGAGAAGGCCCACTGTAGAATCCAGCTGTGGTCCCCTTCCGTGCCAGCTGGCAAGTGCTGCCCACCCAGGGCAGCAGACACCAACTCCAGTTACAGTCAAAGATGAGTTTCCACCGGGAGGAGCTAGGAGCTGTGAGAAGCCCCGGGAGCCAGGGCAGGAGCCCAAGTGGACATTGGCTGGGCCCCTCAAGCGCATGGTGGATGGCCCTGGGCCAGCAGGAAGCGGCCCAGACAGGCTGGGGTGTCTGCTTTGCGGGACAGCTTTGAGAACACAGAATTTGTAAAATTTATGCACAGAAACAGGTTCATTTGCCCAGTTAATATTCTGAAAAAACAAATCTCTAAAATGTTTTCCTCGTCTCTGCAGTTTTCTTTTCATTTCTACCTGTGAGTTTTCTCAGATCACAGCTGGGAGGACATAAGGATGTAACACCTAGAGGGGCCTCCCTGGTGGCACAAGAGGTTTAGAGTGAGCACCAAGAAGCCATCCGCAGCCTCTGCAGCGCGAGCTCCATCCCCCGCCAGGGAGCTACCCCCAGGGCGCAGCAGACTCTCCTGTCTCCCCGCTGCTCCCCTCAGCAGTGGATTTCGTCAGTCTGCCTGTTCTGCTCCCCACTCTGTCTCCGGTGAGTCCTCTCACACCCCACATCTCTGGCCTGTACCCCAGCTCTTGTATGATAAATAAATCTTAAAAAAAAAAAAAAAAAGCAAAGAAAAAAAAAAACCAGGGCCTCCCCGGGGCGCAGCGGTTGAGCGCTGGGTGGCGAAGCTGCCCGCAGCCTCTGCAGCGCCGGTTCGATCCCCGGCTGCTCCCCGGCCACCAGAGGAGGGTCCCACGTGGCGCGCGGACCTCTCCTGCCGCCCGCTGCTCCCCTCAGCAGTGTCCTTCGGTCCTTCTGCCTGCTCTGCTCCCCGCTCTGGCTCTGGGGAATCCTCTCACCCTCCCGCGCTTCTGACTGTGCCCAGTGCTTGGATAAATAAATATATATATATTTTTAAAAGCAAACCTAGGGAGGAAGCCCGTCGCTGCCTTCCTTAGACGGCCTTGCGCGCTCCCGGCCTCAGGGCCTCGCGGGGCCCCCCGCAGGGCGCGGCGGGGGGCGGGGGGCGCTGTCTCCCCGCGGGAGGCTGACGGGGCGCTGGGCTTCTGCGTTCTGGGCCCCGTTCCCAGCCCGGAGGCCTGAAGCCCCTTCCAGGGGCGCTGGGCCGCCTGGGGGAGCGGCTCGGGGACGGCGGGGCCGGGGCGCGTCAGCTGCGCTCGGGCGGGGCCGGGGCGCGGGGGCCGCCGTCGCGGGCGGCTGGAGGGGCGCGAAGGGGCGCGGCGGGGCGGGGGGGGCGGGTCCCGCCGGGCTCGGGGCCGGGCGGCCTGGGAGGCGCTTCCCCTCGGGGCCGGCGGCGGCGCCCCTCGCCGGGCCTCCCCGCCGGGCTCGCGCCGCCCGCCCGCCGCCCGCCTCCCCGCACGTCCGCGGACACGGCGCCCTCCGGCCGCCGGGCCCGGAGCGCGGCCTCGTCCCGCCCTCGCGCCGCCTGGGGCGGGCTCGGCCTCGGGAGCCGGGGGCGCCGGCGCCCTCCCGGGCGGGCCTTCGGGCCTCCGGGCCGCCGGAAGCCGCGCGCGAGGAAGGGCGGCGCGCCGGGGCCTGAGCGCGCCAGGCGGGAAGCGCGCGCAGCCCTGTCTCTTTAAGGCGTTGGGCGGCCCGAGGCATTCTGGCCCCTTCCGCTGCCCGTAGCGCCCGGCCGGAGGCCCGCCGCGCGCGCTCGCCCCGCCCCCGGGCGCCGCCCCGCCCCTCGCGCACGCGCACTGCCGGCACACCCCCCACGCCGCCTCGTCGCGCTCGGTCCGGCTCCCGCCCAGGCGGCGGCGACGCGACGCCCCGCGCCCGCCCCCCGCGGCCCGGCAGGTAAGGGGGCGCCCGGCGGGGCGCGCCCCGGGGGCCGGGGGCAGCTGCCCCCCGCCCGGCCGGCACGTGTTCCCGCCCGGCCCCGGTCCGGCCCCGCGAGCCCCCGCCCGGCCGCCGCCCCCCGCGCCCCGGGCCCAGCCGCACCCCGGGGCCTCGCCGCGGGCCCGGCCGGCTCCCCTGCAGCCGGCGCCCGCCCCGCCGCCCCGCCGCCCGCGGGCGCCCCGCGGCTGCAGCGCGCAGGCCCCCGCCTGCCCCCGCGCGCCCGGCGCCCCCGCCCCGCCTCCCGGCCGCGGCCGCGGGGGGCCCGGGGTGCCGTCCCGCGCGGCAGCCGCCCCGGCGCCCCTGCGAAGGGCGCGGGGGTCGTGAGCGGGCGCGCCCCGCGGTCGCGCAGGTGCCCTGAGAGGGGCGGCAAGCGTGGCCCGGACAGCCGCGCCCGGGAGCCCAGGCCCCGCGATCTGAGGGGCGGCCCGCCCCTGACGCCCCGCACCCCGGCTCAGCCTCGGGGGCCCGGGCAGCCGCATTTCACTAGCGGGTCGGGAGAGCGGGCGGCCGCACCTCGGGCGGCAGGTCCCGGGGCAGGGCCTGTGGGTGGCCAGAGGGGGCAGGACCGCGTGGGGACAGCTGGACCCGCCCCCCGAGCCCGCCCCCCAGCCCCCCAGCCCGCCCCGCCACGAGCGGTCGCAGATAAATGCCAGGCTCAGCCCCTCTGAGTGAAGAGCCGGGGTGCGAAGGCGGGGCGCGCCCGGCTTGCTGGGTTTTGCTGGCGGAGGGCTGAGGGGGTTGGGTTTGCGCTGGAGCCGCTGGACACCTGTCGTGTGGGGCGGGTTTGCAGGTTCTTCCCGCTCCTGGTGGGGCTTAATTTTTATGCTAAGCGAGCTCCTTGGGGGCCGGTCTCCCCTTTTTCTCATGCGGACTTGAGACCAGCCCCGGCCCCCCCAGGGAAGCCCTGGGGTTCCCAGAGGTGCTCACCTGTGCGGCGCGGCCACCCTTCTGCTGTGGCCTGGCTTCCTTGGGGCCTCTGTGCGTGGAACAGACTCGTAGCCCCCCTCTTTCTCCGCGGGCTCATACAGCCCACCAGGTAAAAGCTGGGTAGCTGCCCCAGATGTGGAGGATCAGCCCCTAATCACGGGTCTGTGCTGAGCACCTTGGTCCACCTGCCAGCTTTGCCCACCTGCCCCTCCCACCCCGGTGCCACTTGATCCCCCCCTGTGGGAGCCCTGGCAGGTCAGGGGCGCTTGTGCCTGGTGCATTGTCACCTCCACCTGTTGAGACTTCAGCTCTGCTCGGTTTTGATGGTGTCCGTTTCTCCTGGTGGGGCAGGGCCTGGTGGGGCCAGGCTCGCGCGTACCTAGCTGGCGTTTTCAGGGCATGGATGCTCTCAGGTCCTGGGTGGTGCGAGCTCCCGGGCTCGGCTGGCAGTGCTGTGGGGGCGCCGGGTAGCTCTCTTCTTCGTGCCCCCGCCGTCACTGGTGTGCTGGGTGGTCTGCCCCGTGGCAGAGGAAGCCCCTTGTGGGTGGTTCTGTGGTTGAGCTGCAGTGGTGCCGGCTGCTTCGGCTCTCCTCCCTTCTTGGGCTAGCTTTCTGGAAGCAGCCTGGCCTGGCAGCAGGTGCTGGGGAGCCCCGGGGGCATGGCGCCGGTCCCCCGCGTTGCTCGAGCTGCTACCATGAAGGAGTGAAGGGTCACTTGGGATGCATTTGAGGATTTGCATGAGGCCCCAAACCCGCGCACCCTAAGGCTGAGTCTCCTGAGACTGGACGTGTCCGTTCCTGGCCAGAAGCCTTTGGCCGGCCGTTTTTTGACCTGTCAGAGGCCCTTTGAAGAACCCCATGTTCTGCTTGTGGGGACCAAGCTAAGCACCCTCACAAGTGGCCCTGGTGGCGCTGCCCAGCCTCTGGCGGTGCGGGCGGCGCTCACTCCCATGCAGCCCACGTCCAGCGCTGGCCTCACACGTTCTGGCTCCACTGTGGGCCTCGCCCCCCCTCAGGTCTCAGCTTGCGCCGAGTCTTCTGGTCGGAGCCGTGAACGCTCATCCGTCTCCTGCCAGTGGGCCCCAGAGCCATGGCAACCGAGGAGAAGAAGCCCGAGACCGAGGCCGCCAGAGCCCAGCCCACCCCTTCTTCGTCAGCCACGCAGAGCAAGGTGTGTCCCTGGGCCCCCAGGGCTCCGGCAGGCGCACGGGGGCGTGGAGCTGCCCGGCCGCGGCTCCTGTGACGTGGGGCTTCCCGCCTGTCTGCTGGGGACGGGCCTGTCAGCAGTGTTGGTGCTCCGTCCTGACTGGCAGGACTCAGGAAACCCTCTAGCGCAGCACCCCCAGCCTGGCCCCACAGTCCCATGCGTGGCGGGTCGGGGCCCCTCCTGGGCCCGGCTGGGTGTCAGAGGGGCGGCCGGGGCTGGGGTCTCTGACGGAGCCTGGGTGGGGCTGCTTCCAGTGCAGGCGGTGGGTCCTGCCTTGAGGGGCCCTAGCCAGAGGTGGGTCCCCAGGAGATGCAGAGATTTTGAGGAGCCCTCAGATTAGGCGTGTTCAATTGGAGGGACTTGGACTTGGAGCTAGGGAGAGGCCGGGCTTGGAGCCGCACTGCGGGAGTCCGGCCTCCACTGACTGCTGACTGGCCCGGACGGTGGTGGCCACCTCCTCGGACTGGTGACCGTGCCGTCTCCTCCGCAGCCGACCCCTGTCAAACCAAACTACGCTCTGAAGTTCACTCTGGCCGGCCACACGAAGGCGGTGTCCTCTGTGAAGTTCAGCCCGAACGGGGAGTGGCTGGCGAGTTCATGTAGGCGCCCGTGGCTCTGGTGGGGGGGGTGGCGGGGTGGGGAGGTGGGGGGTGGTACGGTCTGGGCGGCAGCCCGGCCCCTCACCATCTCAGGCGGTCACCGCCAGTTGGGATTGCGCCCGCTGCCTCTCCAAGGGACGGGGCGGGAAGGGGTGCCCCGTGCACGTGCGGGATCCTGAGCAATTCATGCTGTTATGGGGGTTGGCGGTGGGCGCAGCCCCGAGTCTAGACGACTGGACAACCTTGGTTTCCTTTTTTTCTTTCAGCTGCTGATAAACTCATTAAAATTTGGGGAGCATATGACGGGAAGTTTGAGAAAACCATATCTGGTCACAAGCTGGTAGGTCTCAGCCCTGTCCAGCAGGGTGGCTGAGTGACCCGTCCGGGGCTCTCCGCCCCTCCCGCGGAGAGGCACAGTTAGTGCCTGTGTTTTGCACAGATGACCCTCCTCCCCCTGAGTGTCCTGGCGGCCCCACGGAGCCGCCCTCGCCCGGGCCCAGGCCTGGGCTCTGTGTGGTCAGCTGGCTCTCGGGCTCCCAGAGTGGAGTTGGGGGTGTGCCCAGGGGAGGCTCCCCGGCAGTGCCTGTGCTCTCTCCAGGGGATCTCAGATGTGGCCTGGTCGTCAGACTCCAACCTCCTGGTTTCCGCCTCGGATGACAAGACCCTAAAGATCTGGGACGTGAGCTCGGTGAGCGCCCTGCTCCCTGGTGTGCGCGTGCGCGGGGGCATGTGGGGGAACGGGGCTTGCACAGCTGCCTCCCAGCTGCGCTGGGCCGGGGAGGGCTTGGCCTGCTCTGAGATTTGGGGTGCACCTCCTCCCAGGGCAAGTGTCTGAAGACGCTGAAGGGGCACAGCAACTATGTCTTCTGCTGCAACTTCAACCCGCAGTCCAACCTCATCGTGTCGGGCTCCGTAAGCGCGGGGCCACCTCGCAGGGGCGCGGGCTGGCCTGTGCCAGGAGGGTGCTGGTGGCGGGCGGGGACGGCCCCTTCTCCTGTGGACGCCGCCCCTCTTTTTCCGTCTGCAGTTTGATGAAAGCGTGAGGATCTGGGATGTGAAGACAGGGAAGTGCCTCAAGACCCTGCCCGCGCACTCGGACCCTGTCTCTGCCGTAAGTCCCGACCCGGGAGCGCGGCCAGCTCGGGGCCTGGGCCTCCTTGTTCACACAGCCAGGCCCAGCAGTGGCTGAGGGCAGCAGTCTGTGGCCGTGGGAGGGAGGTGGCGGATCTGCTGGGTGTCCCTGTTACATCCCGCAGGACCGGGGAGCACTGCTGGCCTTTGGCTTCGGCGGGGGGTGGGTGGGGTGGGGTGAGGAGGTCGGGGATCTGACCCCCGGAGGCGTGGGGCCGGCTGCTGCTGTCTCACGGGCTGGCACCACCGGCAGCAGGACCTGCCTGCAGGAGCCCGCCCGGGTGCCCTGGCCAGCGTGGCCACGGGAGCCTTTGCCCTCCGAGGCTGAGGGGACTTGTTAGCGGGGTGCCTTTTATTTATTCTTTTTAACAAAGTAGAAGGAATTAAGCATAAAGGCTTTGTCCTCATCATGGGGCAGAGGGTCCTTTTCTGTCTGAAATCACGTGTTGAGTGATTTTAAGTGTTGCAGCCTTGGGAGGCTGCTGTGCTGGGACCGTCGGCAACACCCTGACCGCAGGTGCCTGCGGGTGGAGGTCTGGCCGGCCAGCGTCGCTGCCAGCACCTGGGGCCCGTGCGGCTGTGCTCTCAGCGCGGCGGGACCCTTCTCCAAGGGTCGGGGGTGAGCCGGAGGGTCCCGGGTGCTCTCGGGTGCCAGAGAGGCTGTGCAGCCTACGCTGCGGGGGTGTCAGGAACGTCTGGTGGAGGGGTGAACGTGTGTTTATATTTTAAAAGATTTATTTACGCACACAAGAACTGGGGTACAGGCCAGAGGTGTGGGGGGTGAGAGGACTCAGCAGAGACAGAGCAGGGAACACAACAGGCAGATCCACTGAGAAACACTGCTGCGGGGAGCAGCGGGGAGACTGGAGAGGTCTGCTGCACCATGTGGGCAGCTCCCTGGCCGGCCAGGCACCAAACTTGTGCTGCAGTGGCTGCGGCGAGGTTCTTACGTTGCGTCTTAACCCCTTGCACCACCAGGGAGGCCCGAGTGTGTGTGTGTGTGTGTGTGTGTGTGTTTAAAAAAAAAGCCAGTAGGCGTTCAAACAGAAACTTGGTACCGGATTTGGTGTGGACACGCGTTCCCTGGCCTGCCTCACCCGTCCTCACTGCTGCTCTGCAGCTGCTTACCTGCTTCAGAGGGGTGTCTGGGGTGTCCCCTGTCGGGGCCTGGCTATCTGCGGGTGCCACCTCATGGGCACCGGTTTGTGGCCTTCGCTCCCCAGGAAGCCGAGCGGGGGCCGTCTGTGAACAGCCCGGTGACAGTGCATGGCGGGCCGCGGCCGCACCCCTCATGCTCACTGCTCCCCGCCCCCTTGTCCTCTGGCCCGGACTGTCCCCTGCAGTGCCCCCATCCACTCCGTCCCGCCCGTCCGAGGTGTCTTGCCGCCATGGAGCGGTGTCTGCTGTGGCGTCACCCTGGTCCCAGATCTTTTCTGTGGTGAGGCCGGGAGGAGGCCCTGAGCCGTGTTGTCCTGTGGGCGGCCCCGGCGGGGCGCTCATGTGGGTGTATTTTTTAAAGGTTTATTTATTTATGCATCCAAGAACTGGGGTACAGGCCAGAGGTGCAGGAGGTGAGAAGACTCCTCGGAGACAGGGTGGGGAGCAGAACAGGCGGATCTACTGAAATCCACTGCTGAGGGGAGCAGCGAGGAGACACGTCGCTTGGGGGATAGAAATGGCCCCACTGTGTGTCTCGGAGGCTTCCTCCTGTGGCGTCCTCGTCTCGTGACCTCACCGCTGCTGGAGACGCTGGCCCGGCGGTCACCTCTGTTGGCCCCCGAGGCCCGGCAGCAGGCGCGGGTGTCCGCGCGGCCTTGGCGAGCAGTGGCTGCCAGCGGGATGCCGCCTGCCGGGGACTGAAAGTGCGTCTTGCCCTCCCGCTCCCTGTCCCAGGTTCACTTCAACCGTGACGGGTCCTTGATCGTTTCAAGCAGCTATGACGGCCTCTGGTAAGTGAGCCGCCCGGCCAGGGTCCTGAGGGTCCCAGCGAGAGCAGACCGGGCGCCCCCTCGGGGGCTCGCTCGGTGTGAGGGCCGTGGGCACGTGGGCTCATGGCGGGCAGCCTCAGGAGCACAGCGGGTGGGCTGCAATCGGGGCTGCTCTATGGGAAACCCCACCCCCCTGCCCCGGCCCTGCTGTCCTGGACGCAGGCGGCTGGTTGGCGCCAGGTGAGGTCTCCACAGGCTCCTGGACGCTGGCGTGTGGTGGGTGGTGGGTGCCGGGTGCCCCAGCCTCCTGTTGCGCAGAGGCCGTGTCAGAGTGGCCAGCAGGTGAATGTGGACAGCCCCCCAGGGCAGGCAAGGAGGAGAGCGCGAGGCTGGTGAATTCTGGGTAGTTTGTGGGCATGGCACGTGGAGCCCGGAGTTTGTGGCACCAGGAGAGAAGGAGGGAGTAGTGTCCCAGTTAGAGGTGGGGCTGCCCAGAAGGGCCACTCTGCGAGGCCACGGCCGGGCTTGAGGAGCCAATAGCAGGCAGAGGCGGGCGCCCTGGTGCCGGGGTGAGAGGGGGGGCGGCCGTGGCGCCCCCAGCAGCACACCAGGACTCTTCTGGCTCTGAGTGCCTGGGAGGCCAGAGGGTGCCAGAGTGGCGGCGGCAGGTCTGCCGGGACGCTGGCTTTCTGCTGGAGCCAAGGCGCAGAGGCTGGCGGGCTGAGGGCCCGGGACCGGATGGGCCTGGTGTCTGCGGTGGAGCGGCCCGAGCTCCCGAGCCCGTTCTGGTCCCGAAAAGTCGGCCGTGGGGGATGGCCGACCCGAGTGCCGCCGTCAGAGTTCCAGAGTAAACGCTGGGAGCCGCGTCCAGCGTGGCGAGAGGCGAGGCCCTCTGCCCCGAGGCATGCTGGGTAAGGGCATGGAGGCACCGGAAGGGCAGGTGCTTGTAGCAGGCGCCCGGCAGGCGGGCAGAGGTTCGGGTGGCTCACTGTACGTAGGGTCAGGGGCAGGTCCGGGAGGTGACGCCAGTGAAGACCCTTCCGCAGTGTAGACTGATGTGGGCGGCCATTTAACAGGATCCAAGGGTGCTGCAAAGCGTGACACCCTAAGACCAGAGCAGGCGTGCCTGCTTCCCCGCCGCGCGTCGGCCGTGACGCGACCTGAGGGTGACGGTGGCCTCAGGGAAGTGGACACCGCTTTCTCTCTGCCGAGTGCGCGTGCGCGGTGTCTCTGCCGAGTGAGTGTGCCGTGTCACTGCCGAGTGTGCGGTGTCTCCGCTGAGCGTGTGGTGTCTCTGCTGAGTGTGCGTGGTATTACTGCCGAGTGAGTGTGCGGTGGCACGGCCGAGTGTGCGGTGTCTCTGCCGAGTGTGCAGGGTGTCTCTGCCGAGTGAGCTTGCGGTGTCTCTGCCGAGTGTGCAGGGTGTCTCTGCCGAGTGAGCGTGCGGTGTCTCTGCCGAGCGTGCAGGGTGTCTCTGCCGAGTGAGCGTGCGGTGTCTCTGCCGAGCGTGCAGGGTGTCTCTGCCGAGTGAGCGTGCGGTGTCTCTGCCGAGCGTGCAGGGTGTCTCTGCCGAGCGTGCAGGGTGTCTCTGCCGAGCGTGCAGGGTGTTTCTGCCGAGTGTGCGTGCGGTGTCTCTCTACCGAGTGTGCGCGCTGTTTTCACGACGCAGGGCCCGCTGCAGCGGGCGGCCTGTAATCTGACCAACTCCACCTCACCGCGGCCCTGGCACGGCACGCGTCGCCTCCGCCCCGTTCCAGCGGGGGAGCCGAGGCAGGCCGCAGGCTCCCACCGCCCCGCCGCTGGGCAGGGACAGAGCGGGCCCCGCCGCCAGACCCTCCAGTTACAAGATGAGACCCTGCACCTGCGGGGAGTGTCTGAAAATGGGCCACTTGTTTGTAAGAGTCGCCAGTTAGAGGAGCGTGACTTGGCGCCCGGCAACCTTGGTCTGCAGGGTGCGGCGTGTCCCGGGGCGCGGACGGTCTGTGTCTGCATGACAGACCCGCTGCCTGGGGGCCGCGCGCCCGGTGCTGGTGCGTGGAGACACTTGCCTGCAACAGGTGGGCCTGTGGGCACCTGCACCCCGGGGGGGTTCCTCCTTGCTTGCCCTGTGGCGGGGACACCCTCCTCACTAGCCAGGCAGGGAGCTGGCAGCAGGTCCCGCGGTGGGCACAGTGCAGGCATGTGCGTGAGTGCGCGTGTGTGTGAGTGAGCGAGTGAGTGTATGCATTGTGTGTGCCTGTGCGTGAGTGTGAGTGCGCGTGCACATGGCAGCAGTCTAGCCCCCAAGACGTGAGAATAAGTAAATGAAGCCTGAGAGCGAGGAAAGGCGAAAGCTGAGGAACGCGGGTCACGTGTGTCCTTCCTGGAGCTCGTGGCCTGGGAGCCGCGGCCCCGAGTGACCCCGCTTTCCCCCGCAGCCGGATCTGGGACACGGCCTCGGGCCAGTGCTTGAAGACGCTCATCGGTGAGTGCCGGCCTGGACCCCGCCTCTAGCTCCCCGGGTCCTGCTGACCCTGCTTCCCCCCCGGGAGCCTTCTTTCCTCGGCCTTGCCTGGCCCGACACTGCCTGGCCGTGTCCTTGCGGCCTTCGCCTTCCCCCGGCACTTCTCCCCGGCCGCGGGGGCCGTTCCCCCGGCTCCAGGCCCTGCTCTGGGACGTGGGCTGGCGGGGCCTGGGCTGGCGGGTGGGTGGGTGGTGCCAGGGCCCGGCTCCTGGTGGAGCGGGGGAGGTCTGGAGGGTCTTTGCGTGGCAGGTGCAGCTCCCCTGGGGGTGACTCGGGTGCTGGTCTCCCCGGGGCTCAGAACACGCTGGCCACCCCTGCTCCCGCACCCGGGGGCCGTCCCCTGGGGCTTGTCCTCACCGAGGTGGGGGCACCGTTCCCCGCTGAGGTGTGGGACTCACGTGGCTGAAAATGCCTTCCGCCCCCTTTCTGGTGGGTTTCTGGGGCTGGCTCTTTTTCGGCTGTCAGAGGGGGGCAGCTGCCCTGGGGCCTCGCAGGAACAGGGGTGTGAGGAGATGGCCTGGGGGCCTCGGGCCCCGCTGCTTCTGCTTAGCTGGGTCTTTGCGAGCTTTATTTGACATGAGCCGGGGCTTGACTTGTGGAACCTGCGTAGGTGGCAGCCTGGCTGCCCCGCCAGGGACCATGGGCTTGAGAACGCCCCCCAGGGTGGTGGTGGGGGGTGGCTCTGGCCGGGGGGCGGCGTGGGCCATGGCCACAGGGACTTCACTTGGACATCCGAGTGGCGGGGGCGCTGCTCCCCTCCCCTGCGTCAGCCTCTCTGTCCCCTGCAGATGATGACAACCCCCCCGTGTCCTTCGTGAAGTTCTCTCCCAACGGCAAGTACATCCTGGCTGCTACCTTGGACAAGTAAGCGCTGCCCTTCCGCCAGCTTCCGCCTGGAGAGGCCTGTGGGCTCGGGGTGATGGCCCGGGGCCCCTCCCTGCTGGGGCCAGACTTTGGAGCTGAGGCGAGCCCTGCCGTCCACTTTGCTCCTTGGTGACTGTGACCAGGGCGGTCCCTTGCCCCCTTCCCAGCCCTTCTGTCCGAGGGGCTGGGGCTGGGTGGCCCCTGAGCTCTTCCCGGCCATGCCCTCGGGCACTCCTGGCAGAGCAGCACCATTCTCGGCTGGTCACTTAGCTCGGGGGCCCACACTCGTGGGCAGGACCAGGATGAGTGCGTGACTGTGATACGTTCTGGATGTTTCTGGACCCGAGACTCCCATGCCTCCTTATAGTGGGATGTGACCCTGCGCCCTGGTCCCTTGGAAGAGGCTGCTCCGCTCTGGGGCCCTGCACCCCGGCCTACCCCGATGGCTGGCACCGCGTGGGGAGGCATTGGGGGCCGGTTGGGGGTCCGGGTGGTGTCCTGATCCCCTCTCCCTGCCTTCTAGCACGCTGAAGCTCTGGGACTACAGCAAAGGGAAGGTGAGCTGGGGGCTCGGGGGTCCCCACAGGCGCGATGGGCCAGCTGCGCTGAGCCGGGCACTCGGGGCCATGGGCCTGTCAGGAGCCTCGTGGTGGCAACGGGTCTCTGGGGGTTGCTGGGGCGGCCCGCGGCTTCGGGGTGCAGCCGGGACAGGCGTGGAGCCTGAGTGAGCCCCCCTGTCCTGCAGTGTCTAAAGACGTACACCGGCCACAAGAACGAGAAGTACTGCATCTTCGCCAACTTCTCCGTCACGGGTGGGAAGGTCAGTCCTCTCGCTGCTTGCTTTCCCACGGCCCCGGCCGGAGGCGCCGCCTGGCGTCCTGGCCACCAACTGGGGAGGTGGGCCCTGGGTGTCGCGGGGGAGGCCAGCGAGCTGCTGACCTATGGCCGTGGGGCAGACGCGGTGGGGAGGGGTGGGTGCCCACCCTCGGCCACCGGGTGGTCACGCTGCGCGGTCCCGCGGCTCTCACCGAAGCCGTGATGCCCTCCGCTGACGCGGGCCCAGAGCGTAGGCATCGGCCACTTAGCTCACGGCAGCGCTGGCCGATGCTGCCCTCCCAAGAAGAGCGCAGGGTGCGGGTGGGTGTCGGAGTGGCGACGGCCCCTCCCGAACAGACTTCTGACCCGCCCTTGTTCTTCCCGACTTCCCTCTCCGCCGTGCCCAGTGGATCGTGTCTGGTTCCGAAGACAACCTGGTCTACATTTGGAACCTGCAGACAAAGGAGATTGTACAGAAGCTACAAGGTCATACAGGTGAGGGGTTGGACAGTGCAGGTGCCATGGGGCCGTAGAGAGGAGAGGTTTGTACGGGCACCGTGGGGCCGTGCAGGTGAGGGGAGCCTTAAAGTCGGTCCCGTGTGGCTGGTTTGCAGTCCTGAAGACTACAGACGTGTGCTTTGCTGCCTGCTTCCTCCTCCTCGGCCCTGTGATGGCCCAGGGTGAGGGGACTGTCCCATTTGGGAGCTGCTGGCAAGCCGCGTGGCCGAGACACTCTCTGGCCAGAACCAGCTCCAGGCTTTCTCCTTTCTTCCTTGGCCGCCTGGCCCGAGGGCCACGCCAGCTCTGTGGCTTCTGTGTGGACAAGCCCGTGTTCCTGTCCCACGTCCCCCTGGCTGGGGGGGGGCCATGTTCTCTGCAGCTTCCAGCAGCACCTCGGGGCTTCCCCCTCCTGCCTCTGGGCTCAGTCAGTGCCACGGGGAGCAGTGCGCAGCTTGGGGGAGTGCGGCCCTCCTCCCTGGAAAGGTGGCCCTCCTCCGGGGGCTGGCTCCGATGCTGCCTCTTGCTCCCTGGCTGGCCTTGCTGAGAGCCCTGGGCCGGACAGTGGGTGTGGTGGGAGCGGGAAGAGGGCGCTTGGTGACGGAGATGGACTGGTCCCCAGGGGCGTTGCACCCTCAAACCCCACAGTGCTGAGACCCCAGGCCCGGCCCCTCCCTGCAGTGCATCTGCTGGGCCAGACTGGTGCACAGAGGCCGCTGCTCATGCCCCGCAGCCTGCGGCCTCGCCTCCCGCCCGGGGTCCGCCCGTGGGCAGTGCGGGCTGGTCGCTGCGGTCTTGTCCTGAAACCTTCCAGTGCACGGCGTGAGTCGGCCCCCCATCCCCGAGAGGCCCGGCCCCCCCCCCGGGGCCAGCGTGCACCCGTGCGTGTGTCTGTGTGTACGTGTGTGCTCGCACGCGCATGCCTGCTGGGTGGGGCCGGCCGCGCCCCCCACGCTGAGGCCCCGCGTGTCCGCAGATGTGGTCATCTCCACGGCCTGCCACCCCACGGAGAACATCGTCGCCTCCGCGGCGCTCGAGAACGACAAGACCATCAAGCTCTGGAAGAGCGACTGCTAGGGCGGCCGCGGGGCCGCTGCCGGGTGCCCACAGGCCCGGTCCAGGCCACAGGGCGGAGCCGCCTGGACTCGCGCCGCCTTCGGGCCGCGTGGCCGAGGGGACGTGTCTGCCACCGGGACGCCGTGGAGTCGCTGGTGACGCGTCGCCGCTGCCTCCAGCGCTGTCTGCGGAGAGTCCTCGTCTGTTTGTGTTCAGAGTCAAAGTTTTTAATTTTTTATTACAAAGGGTGGAGCTCAATTTGCCACGAGTTGTGTTTTTTTCCAGTAAACGTTCTGTACCTTTGCTACGTCACCGCCCCGGGCCTCCGGCCCAGCCTGCCCGCGGCCGCGCCCGTGTGCTCGCAAGTCTCTGTGGAGGACGGGCTGTCGTGGGGTCACCCCCGCGGGGCCGCCTGCTCGGCGTCCCGGTCCCCATGGTCCGCGGCCCCGGGCCGCCCGCCCCGCAGCAGGAGGCTGGGCGCTGTGTTCGGGGTGCGGCCGAGCTCTGACGTGCGGGCTCCCCCGCCTGTGTGAGAAGCGACCGGTCGGGCGCCCCCTTCCCTGACTGCAGGAGGGCGGGCCGGGGCACTGAGGACCCCGCGGCCTGCCGGGCGTGTCCCCTGTGCCGGCTCGGGAAGGCTCGGGTGCCCGCTCTGGGCCGAGGGCGCAGGTCCCTGTGGCGTGGGTGCTGCCCGCTCACTGCTCCGTCACCCGTGCTGGCCGGGGCGGCCTGTGGGCGGCCTGGAGCCTCGCGCCCGAGCTGGGGCCCCTTGTGCAGCTGGGCCCACCATGGCTCAGGCCCCCTCTGCCAGGGACACCTTGGTGCTGGGGCGCCTGCGGGGAGGGTCGGCCATGGTCGGGGTGGGGGCCTGTTCGCGGGGCTGGGCGGGTGGGCGCCCCTGGGGCTCTGGGTTTGCAGGGCGCTCGGCTCTCCACGTGCTCTGCCCTCCCGGAGGCCTGCGGCCCGGCGGGTCAGGCACTGGTGGGTAAAGCTTCCGTGCGGTGGGTGGCCCGGCGTGGGGAGTGGGGGTGCCCTGCTGTGCTGGGTGGGCCACCCTCCGACGGCCTCCTGGGAGCCCCGGGGGAGCGAGAAGGCTCCTGGGAGGCGGCTCCCGGCCGACCCAGTGCGGCGCGCAAGGCGGCTGGTGGCGCCGTCCTGGGCAGCGAGGCTGCGGCCCGAGCTCGACAGAACCGGGGCCCAGCTGGGGTTCTGCTCAGTCCCGTGGGTGCGGCTGGCCGGGGTGGGCCTGTGCTCGGTGCGTGTCTTGAATATAGTTTATTTTTTCTACATTTGAATTCTCTGTTGTAGATTGATGTAAAAACATTCTTTTTGAAAATAAAGGTTTTCATGTCTTGTAATTTTGTGCCATAAGAGTTTTTACCGTAACCTTCTGCCGTTTTCTGGGTTCCCTGCCGGGCGCCCCCACGGCCAGGCCGCTCTGCTGGGAAACGCCGCCCCCCTGCACCGGCTCAGAAGCGCCTCGGGGTGCTGGTTGCAGGGTGTGTGCGCCGTGTTGCAGGCCGAAGCCTCTTCCATCCTTGTCAAGGGGAGTGCTAACCTTCTCTCCTTTCTCACAACACGGCCCGGCCTGCGCGGGCGCCGTCCGGAGGACTCGGCGAGATCACCGAGTCGGGGAGCCTCGCAGACGTGCGCCCCGGGACCGCGGGGCGAGACCCCCGCCCTGAAGCAGCACCAGATGCTCCGGTTGCTCGTTGCTCGCCCCGGCAGCGTCCCCCCCGTCGCCCCGCGCGCGCCCACGGACACGCGTGCTCACGGCTGGGATGGCCCCGGGCCCCACTTGCATTTCTCGGCGAATCTCAAGCTTTGGGGGCCGGAGCACCCCGCGTGCCCGCAGCGGCTCCGCGCCGGGCTGGTGGCCTCGCGCCCTGTCCCGGGAGCGGGCCCGGCCGGGGCGCCCAGGACACGGCCCGCGCGCTGTGCGCTTCCCGCGGCGGGGCCCGCGTGGGGGGCCCTCCGGATCGCCCCTGGGCGTCCTGCCCGGGATCCCCAGGGCCGGCAGAAAAAGCGGGACCCTGCGGCTCCTGGGCGCCTGCTGGGCCTGAGCCTGCGGGGAGCGTGCTGGCAGCGGCAGGGCCCGGCGGGCGCGGGCCGGGGCGCGGGGCGCCGCTCACGAGTGACCGCAGTTCCCGCCCGGCCCGGGGGAGCCTGACAGCCCCGGTGCCGCACGGGGAGGGCACCCCCCGGGCGGCTGGGCACCGTGGCCAGGCCAGGCCCCGCGGCGTGGCGCCTGCCAGGGAGCGCAGCGCAGCGCAGCGCAGCGCAGCGCAGGCCCGAGGCCAGGCCCGGCGTCTGCGGGGGCCGCGAGCCCCGAGGGAGGGGGACACCCCGCCCGCGCCGGGGCCCCGCGCGGCGGGAAAACAGTGGTTAGATGCCACGAAGTAGGTGGCAATGCCTTAACCGTATGCGTGTTGCAGGCCGAAGCCTCTTCCATCCTTGTCAAGGGGAGTGCTAACCTTCTCTCCTTTCATACAACACGGCCCGGCCTGCGCGCGCGCGCTACTTAAGGGCCCGGCCGCGCGCCGCCTTTCGCTCACGGCGACGAGCCGGCGCGCCCCAGAAACGCGCGCGGGGACCAGGCCCCGTCGAGGGGGACACGGAGCCTCGCCCCACAAGCCCGCGTGGAATCTCAGCGCACAGGAACAGAAATCCCCGTCTTTTCGCGCTTGAACCCCGCTAATATATTCATAGAGTCAGCCAATCAGAGGACGAGACCGCCCCCGGAAGTCCGCGCTCCTTCAGGAAGTAGATTCCCCCGGAAACAAAACAGGGCAGCTCACGCCCTCCACGACACGCTCGGGACGGCGGGAGCCCTCAGCGGAAACGGAACGACGAGCAGCGAATCAGAGGCCGAGAAGGGAAGACCCGCCCCAAGCACTTCCGGAGGCGGCCCCGGGCTTGGAACTGTGGGTAGTGGCGGCGCGGGGCACGCGAGGGGGGCGGCCTGCGCATGCTCCGCGTCCCGTCGCCGCCAGGGCGCCGCGCATGCTCGGAGCCTGCCTCGCGCGGCGTCTGCTGAGGGTTCGAGCCCCGACGCCCGCCCGTGCTGGGCGCGCTCAGCGGCTCCCTTCCCCGGCCTTGCAGGCGGAGCCCGCGCCGTCGGGGGACCCGAAGCCCCCGGCCGGGCCGGCGTGTGCGCAGGCGTGGGAGCCGCCGAACCCCGGGGCGCCCCGCCACGTGTGTGCTTGTGTCTGCCTGGCACGTGCGTGCGCGGCGGGGTGCCGGGGCGCGTGCGCAGAGCCCGGCGCGGGCCGGGGGCGCCGGGGCTGGGCTGAGGGGCGACGCCGGTGCCCGGGCCCTGCGGGGCTCTCGCGGGCCTCGTGTCCGCGGGGCGGACGCGCGGAGGAGAGTCCGGAGCCCTCGGGGCCGTGCGGGGAGGGCAGCACCGGGGCCGCAGGCGGGGGCCCCGGGCCGGCGTGTCCCAGCCCCCGGCCGGTCTCCACCCTGGGCTTCTCCGGGCTCGCGCTCCCCTTCCCGCTCCCGCCGCGCCCCGGCCTCCGCGGCCCTCCCACGAGCGTCTCCCCCGAGCGCGGCCCTCAGAAGCAACAGCAGCTTCCGGCCGCGTGGCAGCGCCGGGCCCCTCAGGCAGGGCCGTCCCCATGGCGGGCAACGCCTGAGAGCCGCCCCTGCGGGCCGCCCCGGGGGTGCAAGGACACGCGCGTGCGCGGCGCTCAGACTCTGGCGGGGACCCCGGGGTGGGGGCAGGTTGTGGGGTAGGGGGGGGAAAGGCTTCAGGCTTTCCCGCGCTCCCACCGTGCACGCACACTCGGCCCAGCGGCGTGGCGTGTGCGGCGTGGTGAGCGTGGCGTGCGTGGCGTGGCGCGGCGTGCATGGCGTGGTGTGCGTGCGTGGTGTGGCGTGCGTGGCGCAGCGCGAGGACGGAGGTGAGCGGCGGGGCGGGAGGACGCCGGCGCGCGTGGGGACGCTGGCGCGGCTGGGTGCGCCGCACGTCACGGCCCTTCCGCAGCGCGCGCAGGCGCGGGAGGGACACGTTCCCGCGTGGCCTGCGCGGGCCTTGGGAGGCCGGAGGCCGGGAGACTCGTTGCGGCCACAGGCCCGGGGCGGGGGCGGGCGGCGGGGCGGCTCCTGCTTCTCCCTCGCGGGGCCCTGGCCGGGGGCGCGGGAAGCGGGCCGGGCGGCCCCGGGCCTGCGAGGAGGGGCTCCGGGCGGGGCGGCCTGTCCCCGAGGTCAGCGGAAGCGGAGCCGCCCCCGCCGCCCCCGGGCCGCGCGCCCCCGGCCTGTTCCCCTGCGGGTGGGGCGCGCCCGGGCCCTGGCGTGACCCCCGCGCGCGTCCCGGCGGGGCTGCCCGAGCCGGCCCGGCCCGGTCACCGGAGAAGCGCAGGGCCCAGGCCTCGGGGCCCGGCCTCCGCGTGCCGCGGACACCGCGGGGTCCCCCGCGCCCTTCACAGGGAGCCCCGGGAGGGCGGGGGCGCACCGGGGGCCCGCCGGGCGCAGGGCTTCGGGCGCGCCCGGGGGACGCGCGGGGGGCGCGGGGCGCCTGCTGGCCGGAGCCCCGCCGCGGGGGCGCCCCCACTTCTCTCCCCCCCGCACCCTGCCCGGCCGGCTGCTCGAGCTCGAGCTTCCCGGCCTCGAGGAAGCCCCGGCCTCGCCGCGGAGGCCTCCCGGGGTCGGGCCCGGGCCGCCGGGCCACGGCCTGAGCCAGCCCGGGCGCCCGCTGCGCCGCCGCCCCTCGCGGGTGTGCGGGAGCCCCGGGCCGGCGGGGGGCGGGCGGGGGGCACGACGAGCCCCGCGTGGGCCGGCTCTCCGGAGCCCCGGCAGCGTCTGCTGCGGGGGGCGGCCCTTCCGGGCCCGGAGCGGGCCGGGCGAGAAGGGCGCTCCCGCGACCCCGGCCCCGCTGTCTGAGCCTCTCGGAGTGGCCGCCGGGCCAGAGGGCCGGCTTCGGGGCGCCGGTGGCCGCCGCCGCGCGGACCTTGGGGCCCGGCAGGCCGCGCGCGGGGCGTCGTGGGCTCGTGCCGGCTCCCCTGCCGGGGCGGGGCGGGGGTCTGCGCGCGGGCGGCCGGGCCCCTCGGCGGCCCCGCGTCCCGCCGCTGCGCCGCTCCCCAGCCTCCGCCAGGGGGCGCGCGCACCGCCGGAGCCCGAGCACCCGGGGCGGGCGAGGGGCCCCGCCTGGGCGCCGCGCCCCGGGCCCGCCCCGGCCTCCTCGCGCGCGGCCGGCTCGGGGGCTCGGCCGGCGCCGCCCCGATGGGAGCGCCGGGACGCGGGCGGCGGCTGCGCGGGCCGCCGGGCGCAGCCGGACACGGGCCTGCCCGGGCCCCGGAGCCGCTCGCGTGGCCGCGCAGGGGCGCCCGCTCCCCTGCAGCCCTCGGCCCGGCCCCTGGCGCGGCTCTGGGGACCTGGCGGGCCCGGCCCGCCTGCCGCCCTGGTGCCGGCCGCGCCCTGCTCGCGGCCTCCCGGGTGCCTGCGAGCCTCCCGGGCGTCGGCCTCTCGCGGGCGCGGCAGGGGCCAGGCCACCCTCGGGGAGGGACTCTGCACCTGGTCTGGACGCCGTGGCCGCAGGATCCCCGCGAGCGCCCCTCCGCCGCGTCCTCGGCCGTCGGGGAGTGGGGGGCTGGCGTGGGGTCTCGCGGCCGCCCGCCGCGCCGGCCGGCCCCCCTGAGGCCTCCCGAGTCGGGGGCCAGCAGCGGGCCCCGGTGACCGCGGGGGTGCGGCTCCCCCGGGCCCCTGTTAACAGCGACCCCCGAGCTGGGCGCCGGGAGGAGGCCCGGCCTTCCGGGCTGGCGTTGGCCGGGCGTCCTCGGTGACCTGGCCGGCCTGGTGGGCCCCGAGGCACAGGAGCTCCACGCGGGCCGAGCCGGGCTGCCTTCCTAGGGACGCACCCCCAGCACCGGCTCCCCGGCTCCCCGTGGGCCCTGGGGGAGGCCCAGGGAGGAGGCATGGCAGAGGGGGGAGGTGGGACAGGCGGGATCAGTCCCTGCTGGGCCTTCCAGAACTTTCTCAGGCTGCCCGCTGGCTGCCCCTCTGTCGCCCAGACGCGGTGCAGCGGGGCCGGCTTGGCTTCTTCGCCGCGTGGTCCTCTGGGTGGGGCTGGGGGTAGCCACCGCCCCTCCCCGGAGACCGCCTCGGCGGTGTGATTGTGCCTGGCTGTGGCTCTCGGGCTCCAGGAGGGGGAGACAAACGGCCGAGCAGTCTGGCCGCAGTCTGGCCGAGGTGAGGACCCAGTGGCTCGTGCACGCTGCCCCACCCCCGCCCCACTCGGTTACCCAATGCTGGTGAGCCCCTCCCTGCTGCACCCCTCTTTCCAGCTCTGAAACAGAAGCACAGACAGCCTCCCTTGCAGGGCTGCTGGGGGGGGACCCAGAAGAAGACCTTGCGAAGGCTGTAACCTCCCTTCACTCAGGGGCCCTGTGCCTGCTGAAGACCTACCGTGTGGGCTGCCCCACGCCCAGCCTCCAGAGGAAGACCATCCCTCCAGGGCCCTGCTCTTGGGGCCTCATGCCAGGGGAGAGGGGCAGAGAGCAGATGGCCCCTGGGCTGGACTCCTGAGAGCTCCGGGCGGGGGCGCACAGAGCAGATGACCCCCTGGGAAAGAGGGGAGGGAGGGACCTGGGAACAGACACGGTCTGTGTGAAGGTCCTGGGGCAGGAAAGAGGGGCCCCCCACACTCCCGGCGCTGGGAAGAAGCGCGGCCTGGGAAAGCCCAGAGAGGGGGTGTCGGGGAGGCTGCAGGGGAGGGGCAGGTAATAAGATCAGATCCCACAGGGCAAAAGCGGGCAGCATGGAGGGCGCCAGCCTGGAGGGTCACTGCAGTTGCCCAGGTGCGACATGGGACTGGCCGGCACCGGGTGGGGTGGACGCGCCACCCTGATTCCCACCAGGAGCCCAGCGGCCCCTGCCCTACCCGTCCACCTTGTCTAGGGCCCCAGCGCTGCTGTTGGGGGCTGGAGCTGCTCTGGCCAGGCAGGCAGGCAGCTCAGGTCCTCTCCAGCCGGCCGGCCCCAGCCGGCCCTGACTGCCACCGTGCCCAGGGCGGGTGATGCTGCCCTGACGGGGCGGGGGCAGGGGTAGACGTGTGCATGTTGGGAACTTGAGGGTGCAGCTCTGGACACGCTTGCTGGTCCCTGTGGCCGGGGCATGGACCTTCGCGATGCCCAGTGGGGGGGGACCCCCAGGGCCAAGACGGAGGCACCACCTGGGGCCACCCTTGGCAAGGGGGTTGGGCGGTCACTGTGTGGCCTCGTGCCCATGTCCGTGGCCTCCCTGTGGGTGACAGCTTGGGGTACCGCTGTCCCCTCTGGGTCTGGCTCTGTGCCAGCTGGGGCCCCCCTGAGCCATGAGCCGGTGGATGTCCTGTTTGGGGGCTTGGAAGCAGGACAGGGTGGGTGGCGGCAGAGAGGGAGTGGGGGCGTCTCAGCCATGTGCCCAGGCCCCACCTGAGAGCGGACAGTGGGCAGGGCAGGCACTGAGGAGGCCCACAGCATGGGACAGGGGTGATGGAGCTGCTAGTGGCTCCTTCTGGGCTCCTGGGGTGTCGTGACCCTTGACCTGTGGCTCTTGGCTCTGGCATTGCCTGAGGCCCCAGCAGCCTCTGCTACTGTAGCCACTGGGCCTGGTCCCTGCGGGTCCTCGCTTGGGCCTGCCCACAGGGGAGAGGGCTGGCGGGAGCCAGAAGGCTGCAGGGGACCAACTCAGCGCTCCCGGTCAGCGGTGGGGCAGCGCCGGGTGTGGTGCACTGGAGGGGACTGTCCAGATTTGGGGGTCGTCGGGCTCTTTGAAACCTAGGACTACAAACAGGGCTCAAAACCGGAGAATGGTTTTTCCTGGTAGCACAGGGGTTGAGTCTCAGAGCTGTCCACAGCCACGGCAGCACGGAGTTCGATTCCCGGGCAGGGAGCTACCCACAGGGCGCAGCAGACCTCTCCTGTCTCCCCGCTGCTCCCCGCTCTGTCTCTGGGGAGTCCCCTCACTCCCGCCTCTGGCCTGCACCCCAGCTCCCGTATGCATAAATAACTGAATCTTTAAAAAAAAAAACAAAAAAAACCCGGAGAGCTGTTCTCGCCAGCTCTGGGGGCCGGAGGTGAGCCTCAAGGCGTCAGCGGGCCGGACTCCCGGGGCTGCAGGGGAGGGTCCTTCCGCCCCAGCTCTAGGCCCAGGAGGCCTTGGCCGGGCGATGCTCCCGCCTCTGCTCCATCTCCACCGGCTTCGCTGCCTCCCGGGGCTCCCCGTGTCTGCTTTTTTAAGGCCCCTGGGTTTGGGGTCCACCCGATTTCAGGGTGTTCTCATCCTGAGATCCTCGGCTCAGATCCATCTGCGAAGACCCTCCCCACGTGACCTTGGCTTCGGGGCCTCCCTGTGCCGGGCTGAGCGGACAGGGGACCCCAAGGCCACACGTCAGGCCGCCGTGCAGCTGAGAGGGCAGCACTGCCTGGGCTCTGACCTCCAGATCTGCGGACATGAAATGGGGGGCTGGGGCCAAGCTGGGGCTCCCCCCGGGGTGCCTGGGCCCCGGGCCTTCCCTCCAGCACACGGCGGCCCCGGCTCCCAGCGGGCCGGCTCCTGAGTGGGCCACCAGCTGGGCCGGCGCCCCCCGCCCCTGCCCGGGCCTCTTATTTATTTACCCTGGAGTAACCCTGCTGCCGCCTCGGCCCAGCCGGGAGCCGGCGTCCTCCGCGGCCGTGACCTTGGGATTCGGCCGAGAGCGCCTCCTTCCTCCCAGGCGGTGTCCGGGGCGGGCCGGCGGCCATTCGCACGGCTCGGGCTGCCCGTGTCGGGCACAGGCGGAGGGCGCCTGGCTGGGCGCTGCCGGGAGGGGTAGGGCCCTCTCTCCGCGCGGCTCCGGGGGGCGTGGGTGAGCCTGCGGGCCTCCGGGGCCTGGCCAGGCCTGGGGGGGCGATGGAAGGCCTGGGGTGTCATGGGTGAGGGCTCTGGCTGGGGGTCTGGGGCACTTTTCTGAGTGAAGAGCACATTTCGGGGTTCTCGGGACCTGAGCGAGCCCCCGCTGGGGTGCTTGGGAGGAGAGCGGTGGAGAGTGAGTGGACGCTGGCGTTGGTGGAGGACACTGAGGCCGAGGGGAGCCAAGGTGGAAGTACCCCCGTGGGGGCGGGGGCTCGGGGCAGCTCCCCAAGAGCTGGCGGTGAAGGGACGCCCTGCAGGCCGACTCTGGCCGGACAACGGCCGCGCGCAGAGGCCTGAGGCGCACCGAGCCGGGCGGCTGTCAGCCCCGCGCCAGTGAGCCGCCCGCGCCCCCGCCCAGGCTCCCGATGTGCCCTCCGCTGCGGCCCCAGATCCTGCCCTCTGGTGTCTCCCCATTCCTCAGCCTGACACCTCCCGCTCCCCCACCCGGCCTGAAGGGCAAGGCTAGACACGCCCCAAGCCTGCCTTCTGTCCCCCATCCTGGGCCCTGGGCCCCTCCCCCGCCCTCCGCTGTGCCTCCCTCTCACTGCGAGCTGCTGCCGCGGCCCCACCCTCACCCAGGGCCCCCGGGCCCCAGCGCCCCATTCGCCACCGTTGTGCTGCACCCCCTGGAGGCAGGCTCCCCTCGAAGCCCCGTCTTCTCCCATTCACGACTGCCCACACGAGCCTCGTCCCACCCGGGGCTGGGCCGGGCACCGCTGTGGTCGGAGGGACCGGGGAGCAGCGCGCCTCGGCCGGGCATCGTGCACGGGGTCCACGCGCATGCCTTTGAGTGTCCCTGACTGCCCGGCTGCCCCCCCCTCGAGTTCAGGGCCTCCTGAAGGGGGGGGCAGGGGGTGACGGGCACATCGCCCCTCCCTCCTTTTCCCCGCCTGGCACGGGGAGCGGGTCCGGTCCAGGGTCGGAGGGGTGCAGCAGTACAGGCGGGCAACACCCACGCCGGGGGTATCGGGGTGAAGGTGTGTTCAGGCAGCGGGAGGCGGTCACCCCATGGTCTCTAACACTGCCGGTGAAGGAGCCCCTGGAGGGTCAGGTCGCGGGGTGCTCCAGTTTCAACCCCGAGCTGGGGGTCAGGGGCGTGTCAGGTATCAGCACCGCTGGGTTGGGGGGCTCCCCCAGGCTCCGGCTGGGGTGGCGGGACCTGCTGGAGGTCGGGTTACAGCCCATGTTTCTCCAGGCCCCGGGGAGGCAGCGCTGCGAGCATCTGTGCTGCCAACACACAGGCGCGTTCCCCGGGAAGCAGGCTAGGAAAGAGCGGCCCGCTCTGGGCCCGGGCCCCACGTCCCGTGTGGGGGTCAGGGTGGCCAGCGTGCCCCCGGCAGCTCGCATCTGGCCGGCCCCCTGCGGCTGGAGCCAGCCCCAGCTTTGGCCGGCCCAGTGGGGTGACCCTGCCAGTCCCGGGGCGGTGCCCGGGCTGCGAGGGCCTGTGCTCCCCGCACGTGCGGGCGTCACCCCGACACGCTGACCCGCCCCTCGGGAGCGCTGCGCTCACGTTTGACCTCCGTGAAGTGGCCGCCCTGAGCGAGCCCCGCGGCCGAGTGCTTCCCGACGGCGCGACCTTTCTGCACGTCCAGGGGCGCCTGTCCAGGGCGGCCCCCGCGCGGTCCGTGGCAGAGGTTTTCACTTTCTCTTTGGCGCTTGACTTTGTTGTGTTTTTGGGTTTTTTTTTGCATCTCAACGTTGACTTTTTTCTAATGGGATCAAGTGGCTCTTTGAAGGGGGGTCTCGGTGAGTGTGGGGGCAGCCAGCAGTGGAGGTGGGGGGCCCCCGGGACCGCCCAGTCAGGGTGCTGCGCCCTTCCTGGAAATGGGCTTCGTGGGGGATGTTTGGGGTCGCCCCTTTGGCCGTCGTCAACCTAAACAGGACGTGCCGTGCAGAGACAGAGGCCGCGCTGTTTGTTTGTTGGCCAGCAGAGATAGGCGAGCGCGAGCGTGCGTGCGTGCGAGCGAGCGGAGGAGAACGAGGCAAGACGCAGCCAATTAGTAGTTTAAAAAAAGCCTTTGTCTATCTTTAAAACCCACTTCCTTTTGCGCCGGCGCTGTGTGGGGCCAGCCCCGTCCCCAGGCCCAGCGATCTGGCGTCCAGGAGGGCCCTTCCCGACGCAGGCAGCCAGCTCTGGGTGCCGGGGCCCGTGCCCCCACCCCTCGGGGCTCCCCGGCCTGGGGGCCTGAGTGTATCCCACACGTACGTCTGGCCTGAGGTGGGGTCGCTCTGCCCTGTGCTGTGGGCGCGGCGCGGGCACGGTGGCCGGGTGGCGGCTGATGTCTGTCCCAGACAGCCGGGGAAACTGAGGGCCGGCGGTGGCCGCAGAGAGAGGCCTGGGTGAGGCTGGGCCCAGATGCAGCCGCTGGCGGGCGCGCGTGGGTCTGCGTGACGCGGCGGGAGGACAAGGGTAGTTCTGCGCCCTTTCTGCCTGTGCTTCCTGCCGGCCCTGGGCCGCGGCGCGGGGTCCCCTGACAGCTCTGGGCCGGGGCGCCGGGTTGCCCGACAGCACTGAGCCAGCGCCTCCAGCCGTGGGCAAACTTCAGCCTGCCCAGAAGTGAGGGGCCACCGTGGGTCCCCCACCTCCATGGGTGACAGGGCGGCCTCCAGGCGCTGGGGCCCTGGGCTCTTGGGGACCAGGCAGCCCAGCGTGAGCCCGGCCCTGCTCCAGCTCCTGGCTGGGGGGTCTGCCCCTCGCAGGCCGGCCGCTCCCACGGGCTCCGGGCCCTCAGACTGTTTCCTCTCCCCACTCCCCCCGGCCCCTCAGCCTCTCCCCGTCCTCCCAGGCCCTGGTGGAGGTCAGCGGTGCTCAAACACCGTCTTTGGCTTTTGGGCCTCGGGCCAGAGACGTGGCGCCCCTTTCTCGGGTGGCTGGGCTGCTGCAGGACATGGGTGCCAGCCTCATTTCCAGCCAGCACCCCGAGACTCTCCATCGGCGGGTGGGGGTCGGAGGCCAGAGGATGCCAGCAGAGGACTGTGTCCTCCTCCAGCGCCTGCAGGGTCTGGCCTTGGGGCCACAGGGTCCGCTCAGGATAGAGACTACCCAGCAGGGGTGCGAGGCAAGTGTGTCCCCTGGCCCAGCCTCCCACACAGGGGCGGTGACCCAGAGTCCGGGAGTCCGTGCTGGACACTGAGGGAGGACATTGGGGGGCCCCGGCCCTCGGCAGGGTGTGGGGACAGATCCAGGCCCGGCTCTCAGGCCGAGTGTGCCGCCACCCCGCCCCCAGGACGCATGAACCCCGGGGCTGCGTGGGCCCCTTGCGGAGCAGGTCTCTACAAGATTGATTAACACAAACATCAATTTCCCGGGCTGCTCGCCTCCGAAAACACGGCGCGTTTTCAGATTGAATTGCTCTGAGCGCCGCCCGCCTGCCCGGTGTAAATAAAGGACCGGCTGACGGGGAAGATTTGTTGCTGTGGCCACGGGCAGCAGCCCCCCTCCACTGGTGATATTGGGGGGCGGAGAGGGGGCCAGGAGACTGGGCGAGAGAGGAGAGGGGAGGAGGGAGCAAGGGCCAGGGGAGCAGAAAGCGAGGAGGGGTGTGGCTGGGTGGGGGCAGCCGGGGAGGGGTGTTTTCAGGGGGATGGTGGCCCTGGGGTGGGCTCTGCTGGTCTTGCTGCCGCTGCTGCTGTATGGCCTGGCTCCCTGTCCCCTCCCTTGTCCCAGGCCCCAGGGAGCAGCTCGGAGCCCCCAGGGGGCCCTCGGGCCTCAGGCTCAGCCGCACAGCCCAAGGGCGGGGACTGGCAGCCGGGTCAGGCTCAGTGACTGTGTGACCAGGGTCGGAGGGGCTCAGGGCCCAGGGCTTCGTGGGGTGCCCCCTTGCTGCCACACCCCCAACCAGGCCCCACCCCTGCCCCTCAGCTGAGTGCCTGGTCTCAGTGTCACAGCCCACGAGTGCCCACACTATGCTTTGTGGGGCTTGGTCAGCCGCCCCGACGGGCCCCTCCACGCACTGCTGGCACGGAGCTGGGCTTGGCGTGTTTCTTTTCTCCTGCTGTCTGAAGCGAGTGTCTAAGGCTGCACCTTGCAGGTGGTGGTGTGTGGTGAGGCCCTGGCCCCCTCCTCTGGCCCACCTAACAGTGCTAGAACCTTCCAGGTGCTTTCAGATTGAATTGCTCTGAGTGCCCGCTTACTCCTGGTGCCCCTACAGACCAGCCCCTGTGCTGTGCCCCGGGCGCCCTCACTGCTCCCCCTTGCTGGCAGAGTGTAGGAGGGCCTGGGCTGGGCCCGGCATGGGCATCTGGTGACTCGGCCCGGCTGGGCTCAGCTGGCGAGACAGAGACCCCACCAAGAGCATTTTTTCTGGTTTTGGGGTGAAGTTGCTGCTTCAGGACTTGTCGTTTCTCCTAAGGCGTCTGTCTGGGAACATGTGCGGGTGCTGCTGGGAGGGCAGCTATGGCTGGCACCAGAACCAGGCCCGGCACCGACTCCTTGCCTCAAGGCAGGGCCCATGTGGCTGTTGCTCCTGTGGTGCTGATCCAGAGAGCATGGCCAGGGGACTAGGGCAAGAGAAAGAAACAGAAGGCACGATGATTAGCGAGTAAGAAGCAAAGCTGCTGTATTTGCACTCAACACGATTGTCTCTATAGAAAATTCCAGAGGACCTATGAAACAATAGTCAGAATTAAAATTGGGTTTAGCAAAGTCACAGGACACGCGCTCCATTTACAAATGAGTCTGTCTCATTTTACGTGCCCAAAATAATTAGTTAGAAATTGAAACTAGAGGGCCTCCCTGGTGGCACAAGGGGTTGAGCACAGCGCTGTGAAGCTGTCCGCAGCCCCTGCAGTGCAAGTTCGATCCCTGGCCAGCCAGGGAGCTGCCCACATGGCACGGCAGACCTCTCCTGCCTCGCCCGCTGCTCCCCTCAGCAGTGTGTTTCATCAGTCTGCCTGTTCTGTTCCCTGCTCTGTCTCTGGTTGGTCCTCTCATCTCCTACACCTCTGGCCTGTACCCTGGTTCTTTTGTGCATAAATAATACATCTTTAAAAAAAAAGAAAAAGCTAGAAAAGAAAGAAAGCCACTTTCATGCCCCCAGATAGTAACATGCCCCAGTCTGACCAGGCATGTGCACTGAGCTGCACGTCACCGATGAGGGGGTCAGAGAAGACCCGAGAACCTGGAGAGAGAAACCGTCTTCGTGGTTGGAGGCCCAAGACGGTGACAGTCCCGGTGCTCCCCCAATTCGAGATTTAACGTCAGCCTCTGTAGGGTGGTTGTAGACGTCAACGGGCAGCGTGTAATGGACGAAAGTGTTGACAGCTTGGTGGGACGGGGGATGGAACTCGGAAGCTGACCCCCGTGTGGATGGCTGAAGGACACCCAAGGTAGGAAGAACAGTCTCCGACTGACTACAGCAGCACCCCTCCAGGTGTGCAGTGCGACGGTTCAACATCGGGGCATTGTGGAATGACCGTCAGCATGTCTAGAATCCAGAGAGAACAATCTTGTGAACAGATGATTCTGGAACATACCCATCCCTCGTGCCGTAGACAAGGACGGACTCAAAACAGGATACAGAACTTTTAAATAGAAAACTACAGCATTTTTAGAAGAAGACGCAGGGAGGGTTCTTTGCTGTTGTCTGGCCACCGATCTCATATCTGACGACAAAAGCACAAACCATGAAACATTTGATAAATCAGATCTTATCAAAACGAGAAAAACAGCAGCAGGGAAGGAGTCCGCAGACTCGGAGAGAATATCTTCAAAATGTGAATCTGATAAAGAACTTCTCTCCAGGATACATAAAAACACTCTCCAAATTCAATAATGTGTTAACAACCCATTTAAAGTTGACAAAAGACTTGGGCAGGTCAGCAAAATCACACACATGGCTGCCCTGTAATTAGCTGTGCGGTGGGCTCAGCTTCCCCTGGAAGTTCTGACGGGCTTTTCCCAAGGTTCAGATTGGGTCACCTTGGTATGTAGAGCTCAGGTCACTTGAGGCCTGTGGGCCTCGGGAGAAACTGTTACCACTGCTTAAAGAATGTAGCTGGCCTAGGTTTAAGGACATCTCCAGAACAACCTCTTTATCGGAGGGGCCCATCTGAAGGCAGGGCAAGCATGTAGAGCAAGGACTTGTCCCGTGTAGTCACCCCTCCTCACCATGGGAATCCCCCTCTGCTCTTCCTGACACCACAGGAGCCTTAACACAGGATGGAGACCCCCAGGGTGTCCTGTGACTGCCATGCAAATTCTCTGCAGGTTTTGTTACTGATCTGTCTGATGTCCGTTTTTGTCCCGCCTCAGAAGAACCCAGAGGGTGAGGAGTTTGCCCCTTTGGCCCAACAGTGTCCATTCGGAACGAGATGCCACTGAATACCTATTACAACGGCTTTTCAAAAACTGACAATACCAAGTGTTGGCGAGGATATGGAGCAACGCGAACTCCATCACTGGGGGGAACACAAGATGGCACCCCACTCTGGGAATCACACTGGCAGTTTCTTTCAAGGTTGAACATAAGCTCACACTGCAATCCAGCAGTTCTACTCCTGGGTATTGACCCGAGAGAAATCACATAAAAATCCATGTGTGGGTTTTCAAGAAATTTTATTTAATTTTATATATTTTTAAGATCATTTTTCATTTTTTATGTGTGGGTTTTTATAGCTGCTAGGTTTAGAATTGTCCCAAAAAGGGAAGCAACTCAAATATTCTTCAAGCCATGGCTGGAGCAAATATAGT